GTTGCTGAGCCCTTATTTCCAACTCTGGCCATGCTGCTGGAAGGATGCATGCTAAGCAGGTGCAGTGTTCCAGGGGCTGGGATAATTTGTGACCTGTGAAATGGTTATTTCTGTTCCCTCACTTGTGTGGTGGCCACTGCCCTGACTAGTGATGTCCTGGTCTCCTTGCTGGATGTTACTAATTTAGAACTTCTTAATGTGTACCCAAGACTTTCATTTCAATGTAAATAAAGTTATGCTGGGATGCTATCAAGCTTTTATTCAATACTTCCCTCAAGGAGAAGGAATTGCAGCACAGGTAAAGTGCAGTGGCTGATGCTCTGTAGTTACTATGAATTGCACCACTGGCTTTGAGTAGGTATAACTTATAAGATATGTGAGCCTAGTGAAAACCAGAAAGCTCTTGAAACTCTGATAGTGTTAATGTGAACAGGTCTCTGAAGAGCAAAAACTGCCTGGTTTGTCTGAAGTTTGCTGGTTTCTGCTTTGATGTTTGAGAAATCTTGGGCTTCATCAGGGAAGTCGTTTCTTGTACTCCTGAGTGTCACAACTTTGTCCATGTTAATGAGCAGAATGTAGAGCAGTCTGAATAATCCTGACACTGCTAGAACAGAGGAGGGAGCTGTCAGAATCCTAATAACCGGATGGTTGTTCAGGTAATGGAGCCTGAATTCTGCCTTCAGAAAAGACTGAACTCAGTCTTGAGATGCAGGAGTCACAGTAGGAAGGTGAGAGTTGCGGTGGGGAGAAGCTTGGAGCAGACCAGGGCTGTTGGCTTGGGTTGTGGTTTTTTGTTATGCATAAGGTAGAAGCTCGAAGTGCTGGGCTCCAGGTGTCTCTTCCTGAAGGGTAGCAGCTGTGAACACAAGTGTGAAACTTGGGCACAGGAAAAGTGTTCCAGGGAACTGCATTTGTAAATGATGCAACTTTCTCCATTCCTCAATGGGGCTCTTGTCATGCAGGGACAGCGAGGTTGGCTTCCTGGTTTGTTTCAGTGGCGGCTGCTGAGGCCCTGCTGGAGGAAGCCAGGGAGCCTTGTTCTTTATGGAGCTGGTAGAACAGCTGTAGCTCTATCCATCATTGGGATAAAAGGAGTCCAGTGGAAGAGCCGAACGCCTTCTTCCTTTAGCTGGCAACCAGAACCAGCATCCTTCATTATAAGCCTGTAATTGAGTCTTGGCAAGTTAATTAGAAGATTTCTGAGAAGAAAGAAGTGCTCTTGCCTACATTTTTTTGGTGGGGTTACTATTTTCCCCTGCACAGGAAAAAAAAACCACAACAAAAAACTTAAGTCCAATTGTTGAGAGCAACTGATACCAAAGACAAGTTGTCCAAGAAAGCTGGGCCAGACACTGGTTTGTTGTCCCCAGGTTGGTGGCTGCTGCAGCCTGGTGCTCTCAGCAGTGTCAACGTGCCTTTGATGCGAGATGGCCACCAGGAATGCTGTGTGTCAATAACTGTAGGTTCACTTATAACTGGCTCCTTTGAGAGCTGTGGCCCAGTTTGTGTTCAAAAAGGTGCCATTCCTTTGAGTGTTTGTTTGCTTATTTATTGAGGTCAACAAAGTGAAGAGTAATTGTGGGGCTGGGTCTAACAACAGGCTTCTGATGTGTGAGAGCTCCAGAGTGTGAAATTGAAAAGCTAAGTGGCTCCATGCTGTTGTTTGCTTGATAAAAACTCAAGATACACACATGGCTCTTGAGGATTTTTTATTTCATCATAGCTATTTAACATTTTATTTAAGGGAGACTTTACGTAATGTTCTGACCACAGGAACCAGTCCAAAGGTTTCCGAGAGCAAGTCTTTACAACACAAATCTGGTATGAATTTCAGGAGATGCTACTAAAATTTTATAGAAAAAGCCAAGAGCTCAGTATTATGGCAAGTGACTTCTGATCAGTGTGGTGTCTCTTGAAGAGATGGTGGTAAACATCTCATTTAATTTTCAGGTATAATTGTTCTGGCTACACTGCTCTTACCTGTGATGACAAAAGGGGAAACTTTCTGAAAGGAAGGAATGCTAAGCGAGGTTGTACAGAATGGTACAACTGATCAGTGTGAGTTGAAAGGAGGTGGGCTGTAGCTGAAGATGAAGTTGGTGCTGTACAATTCCAGGTCCTGTTGGCAGCAGGCGCGTGCGGCTGGAGGTCTGCATGCTAATGAAGCTCTGAAAGATCTGGGGAGAGCAGCCGGGGTGCTCCTGCCAAAGTGCTAATTCTTACCTCGGTTGTGAAGATCAATTACCTTGTTCAGATTTAAAAATCAGTTTCTCTTATGCTTACAGTAAAAGGTTGAAGAATGTGGTTATAACTAGTCAATTATAATGGCATTCTTCAGCGCTTCCCTGGCTTTATGCTCAGGCCCAGGAAATGCTCTCTGCTTGCAGAGGGGCCAGCAGTGCAGGAACAGCATTCATCAGTCTTTGTTAGTGCAGCGAGCTGCCTTGATGAACAGTTCATTAACCAGGAGAAGCAGAATCAGGCTTTTAATACACTTGCTATAGCAGTTAGGCCCTGAGAGTGAGTAAAAAAGCTCAGGAGGCTAGTCTGAAAGCTAAATCCTTGCTGCTGGACTGAAACTAATCTTTCCCCCCTCCTTCCACAGGCCTGTAGGTAGCAGCATTCATTAAAATGCTTCTCTAAGCTGTTGTTTAAGAGTACCGTGCCTGTTGAGCAGATAGTTCAAACATAACAAATGGGACAACAACGTACACACTTAAGAAGAAACCTGTTCTGACTCTTCTAGGCACCTCTCAAGATTCACCCTGATATTGTTTCACTGTAAAAATGCGTCAGATTGAGGTAACAGTTAAAACAAATAACCGGAGGCGTCTGGCAGCGCGTGGGTCCCTGGCACACCGCGTGCCTTGGGATGGGGCAGACGTGTCTCCAGCAGTTCAGGCACGTTCCCCAGTAGCTTCAGAGGGCTGAAATTCACTGCCGACAAATCAAAGTCTGTGGGTTGTTGTGGATTTTTTCTTTTTCCCCTGAGGTGCTGTGGAGGGGGGGGGGAATGGGTCAGATGAATCCCTGCTCGCTGTAGCTACAGGTCTAAGAGCTGGGTTTCTAGCAGGAGCCTGAGCTGTTGCAGATTTATGCTGCAGGATCCACCTCAGGATTTACGTTGCAGTGAGCACACAGGGATCAGTTGTTACTCCCCTCCTTCCACCCCTCTTCCCTACTTCTATTAGCAAAAGATTAGTTTCTGGCAGGGAGAAGCGACTACCAAAACATTTGAGACTTCGTGTGAAGCAGCCAGTAGTTGAGGCTTTGGTCCTCTGGTCTAGAGCCTGATCTCTTGTTCATCCAAGTCCTGCAGGAAATGAGAACCAGAAGCTGCAGGTATGTCAGTGCCCGTGAGCCGAGCGCTGCGCTTCTGGAGCGCCTGGAGCACAGAGGCCTCTGAAACCCTGTACTCCTCCTCAAAATGGCTGCCAGATGTGTTGGCTCTACTGAATTCCTTGGAGCCTGACACCAGAAATGCTGAGGTTATTACCAGTTTGGTTCTTGCTGTGTTCCTCCTGCAGTCTTCCAGGCACAGTGTTGCAAGACCCAGCGTGACTCTGGCTGGCTGCGGTACCTGCCGAGGTTTTGCTGTCAGCACGCGGGGCTGGGCTGGCCGGGACCGCTTCAACAAAGGAAGCGTGTTTGTTTTCACAGCTCAAGCTTGGGAGCCTGGGCTAGGATCCTGTGCCATTTCCCTGTGCTAGGAGCAAGATTCTCGAGGAAGACAGCCTCCCCTTTTGCTGCAAAGCATAGCTCTTACTGGCCAACAAATGTGCATCTTATCCTCTCAGTGTTGGAGGCTTCTTAAAGCTTAACTTGGATTTGGGTTGGTATTTGTCTGTAGGTGCAAAAAACAGTACAGAGGCTCCTGAAGGGAACCACAGCCTGGCTGCCCATGCTTGTGTGACTTCTTGGGGTGGTCTTGTAAGCTCCTTGATCATCTTGTGACCCAGTCAGTCGCAGATGAATCCCTTGTTACCTGTTTCCCAGTCAGTGGGAAATGGAGCTTCCAGATCCTGTGATGATGCATCCATTGAGTGTTCGGCACAAGAGAACGGGCTTGTTGTGCAGCTCTCTAGCATCAGTAGGCAGGACTTCTAAAAGTATATCTTACAGCCATGTTTGTGTGCTAACTAGCTGTTTTTCTGACAGCGTGTACACTTTTCCTGCAGCAGTCAGCAGTTTGCTGAAATAACAGATCTTAATGATAAGGAAAGAGGTGTTGGGAAGTACTTGAGCTGGTAGTAGGATCTGGAAGGAAAGTGCATCATCTAACATATGCTGCTCTGCCTTAAACTGAGGAAAATCTTTCTCAAAATAGTCCTTCTTACTCCTCAAGCTGATTTGCTTTGGTTTATTTCTAGCATCAAAATGAGAATGTAATTTTGATGTGATACAGCTTTTATAGTAAGTGCAGATCTGTATGAGTAGGATGTAACTTGTGCCTCATAGCCAAGGCAAGATGGAAATGGTGACACTTCAAGAGTGTTTGGGTTTTCTTATGATAGAAAGTAATTTCCACCATTAAGCAAGTGTGCCCAGGGATGGGGTATCTAAGGAGCAGAGGGTAGAATTCACGGCAGCTTGTTAGTTGTGCTCACACTGCAGATTCAAGCGATGGAAATGCCTAGATATGGCTGTGCTTGTGGCTTGGGAATCTGTATAGCCTTACATGGAGTAATTGGGTTATTTAAGGAGGTGTCAGTGTTAGGCAGGAGGTGTATGTGTTGCACACAAGTGGATCTTCTATATCACTTTGCTATTCAATTCCAAGACTGAACTTGTGGAGTGTGCTGCATCCTGGAGGAGCAGCTTCTTAGAGGTCTCTTGCTAAGTGGGTGTATGGGAGGTGGAACCAGGGAGCCTCACCGTAAAGAAGAGGAGGAAGTGTCTGGGAGCAGGACCTGCAGAGCTGCCCTGACATGGGCAGGCACGAGAAGAGGCGTTCCAGAGCTACCAGTAAAGCCTTGCTTTGTGTTTCTCTTGTAGCAACCCTCCGCTCAGCGAGGAGATGCTGCCTCCGGGGGAGTGGATGTGTCACCGCTGCACCGTGCGCCGCAAGGTAAAGCCCCGAGCAGACATGATCCCTGCCCTTCCACCTGTCCAGCTGAACATGAGTTTTATACCTTCCTCTCCCCTAAATGTGTGCATGCATCCCAACAGAGCTGCCTTTGCTGCTTGCAGTTGCAAAGGGCTTTGTTAGAAAAAGGTTTCAAGAAGACTCAGGGGTCTTCATGAGACTATCCTGGTGTTTTTAACCTGGCTACTAGGAACAAGAACTGAAGTGCCTGGTATGCTCTAGTCAAGCTGTGCCTTGTAAAGTGCTTTCCTTCCCCCCACTTTTGGAAAGGAGGGAGAGCTGAGGCACAAAGGGAGTGGGAATGGCTCCCATGCTCGAGGACCTGAGCTGTGTACAGGCAGAACAGGAGCTGTGTTAATGCAACTTTGGCATCAGGGCTGTGATTCTGGTTAACGTGTGTTCCGTAGAAGTGTGACTTCACAGCAGTTGCATATCAGCAGAGGGTGAAATCACAGTGAGTTATGATTTCCTGGGCGGTCGAACAGGATGGGGAGGAGATGATTGGGCAAGACTGTGGCTTGTCTTTTTTTTTTCCTTGATGCTCTTTCTCCAGGAAGCTGTCTTGCCCAATGTAAACATCTTATTGCTGTGGCTACATAAGACTGCGTAGCAAAGGGTTTAGAAACTGCACCAAGCTATCTAGCAACTGTTCCCTTGAAGCAACACCCAAAACAGATTGGAAGAGAACTCTCTACTCAGCCTTTTGTTCCTGAAGCAATTGCCTTGTTATGTTCAGCCATCTGCCAACATTAAAAATGAGAGTTGCAAATTTAAAAAATTACAGAATCATCATAGAATGGTTAAGGTTGGAAGGGACCTTAAAGAGCATCAGGTTCCAACCTCCCTGCTCTGAGCAGGGACACCTGCTACCAGACCAGGCTGCCCAAGCCTCTTCCAGCCTGGCCTTGAACACCTCCAGGGAGAGGGCAGCCACAACCTCCCTAGGCAACCTATTCCAGCACCTTCCTACCCTCATGGTGAAGATTTTCTTCCTGATGTCCAACCTAAATCTACCCTATTTCAGTTTAAAACCATTACCCCTTGTCCTATAATAAATCAATAAAAAGAGGGAGGGGTGGGGAAAGAGGAAAAATTCCCAAGTTTTCTGTATTTCAAATTGCCTGATAATACTTTGGTCCTTTTGCAGGCCATTTTAGTGATGGAGTAAGTAGGTTGGGTCATCCATTTTGGTGCTGCTGTCAGGCACTGGAGAAGTGCACAGTGGCAGCCCCTCCTGCTGCAAAACAGGTCTCCTGGATTCCAATGCATTGTTTTCCTCTGCAGCAGTTCTCCCTGCCCACCTTGTTCAGGATTCCTGTTGCCAAAGAGATAGCAGAGTGTTCTTTGTATCTTGTGCTTGTATTCTCAAGCTGACCTTCTTGCTCCATAATGGGTTTGGATGCATTTCCAGGATAGATGGCATTGACAATGATTGGATGGTCTGTGTGGACATTCTCAGTCTTGGCGAGCCAAGTAGGCAGGGTTGTCAGGTATTTAGGACTAGATTTTTGTGAAACCTTGTCCTGATCCGAACTCAAAATATGGATGTCCTGAAAGGAGAGGGACGTGCCAGTTGTCCTCCCTGTGCTTGGTTCCCGTCAGCTGTTGGGTCACCTTTATGTTAGCAGCCATCAAACTGCCTTTGCTAGGCCAAGGCTTTAATGATTTCAGGTGGAAGCTGTAGGAAGTGGCTCAAGCCTTTGCAGATGCTGTTTGTCTTCCGTTGCATATTTGTCAAGGTTGATGTGCTTTGTTTGTGGCCTCCATGATAAGCCTGCCTATTCATGTCGTGCAGAAGCGAGAACAGAAGAAAGAGCTGGGGCAGGTAAATGGATTGGTGGACAAATCTGGGAAAAGGACCACCTCCCCCACCAGTGACGCAGACCTGTTGGACAGGTCTAGCAGCAGCATCAGGGCTAATGCGCATGCCAGGATCTTGGAAAGGAGAGCGAGCCGGCCTGGCACTCCCACATCCAATGCCAGCACCGAGACCCCCAACTCAGAGCAGAATGATGTCGATGAGGACATAATTGACGTGGATGATGACTCTGCCATTGCAGAAATGGACTGTGGGCAGCCCCAGCTGAAGCGACCCTTTGAGCTTCTTATTGCTGCTGCCATGGAAAGGAACCCAACGCAGTTCCAGTTGCCGAACGAACTGACCTGCACCACAGCACTTCCAGGTGAGCCATGGCTTGTCTAGTGTTGGTGAAGATGCTCTCACTTGCATCTTGCTGCCATCTTGCCTCCTTTTCCTTGTCACTCCTTGGTAGCTGTGGCTCCAGTGACGCTCACTGCTGAAAGCAGAGGGTACAGGAGCACCGCATGACATCCTCCAGCTCTCCAACAGCAGGTGGCCTTTCAGATGTGAGCTGTGGGGACACTTGCTGCTACACAGCACACTTCATCAGCACTTGTGGTAGAGGTTTACTGTTGTCACTTTAGTCTAGATCATCAGTCTGAAGAAAAAAATTCCAATTGTCACGATACTTGATACAGTAATCTAGTTCACATGTAGGGTGTCACTGTGAGATGATCAAGTATAAAATATGTCTGCCTTTAAAAACAGTCTGTCACTCAAGCCTAGATTCAGTGGTTGATAGAGGCACCTTAAGCAGCTCTCTTTGCCTTTTGTTTGCCTCTGCCTGAGATGACGATGTGTATCTACCAGAAAGCAAATCTCTGCCATGTGGGTAACCCAAAGCCTTTTTAAAATGTACTTTCAGGTACTAGTAAGAGGAGGAGAAAGGAAGAAACCACAGGAAAGAATGTCAAGAAAGCACAACACGAATTAGACCACAATGGTTTGGTTCCCTTGCCAGTGAAAGTCTGCTTCACATGCAACAGGTACTTGACTCTTCCAGAGATGCTGTTTGGTGTAGCTGCACCCTTCACAGGAGGAAAGTTCTTGCTAAAGAAAGTAGATGACTTGTTCCCTTTCCCATTCTCATTCATTACTTGCTTATAATCCTCTAAACAAATAGAATAATCATCTTTGCTAAATAAAAGATACTTAACCATGACAAGTGTAGGTGTGGCTTCTGCAGACCTGTGTAGCTGTAGAAGGTTTTAAAATGTAGCCTGAAGAGAATGAACCATCTTGTGTATTTTTCTACTAAGAAAGTGATTGGTGGTTTAGAAAATTGGTATATTTGTTCATGGTTCATGAGGGAAGTAGGCAAGGAGGTGACCTTCAGGGAACAGAAATCTACTGAGATACAAGCCCAAGGCAAACAGGAATATTGTGCTGAAATAGTAAATCTCAAAACTAGTACAAAATACTGCTGGTTTTTTTTTGACTGCTTAAAAAAATGTACAGATAAAATCCCAGTTAAAAATGTCAGTGAACTTGAAAAGCTTTATTTTGAGAATCCAGACAGTGAATTTTTGGAAGTGACTTGGAGGTGGGTTTTTGTGGAGAATAGTTGGTGGCTGTGTCATAGAGTGAAGACTTCTGGAAAGCCTGGACAATTGGATGTAGTGGCTTTCTGGAGTCTGAGAGGCTTGTTCTGAGAACACCGTGGTGAAGTAAATGTCCAAACTTCACAGAAAATTGATCTGAGGAAAACTGTAATAACCTAAATATGAGATTTCCTTTTGATCTTTGAATTTTGCTTCAAATGAAGCCACTCAGAACCCAGGTGCAAGGTCAACTTGAAAAGTTGCTTACATGAATCTGGCCAGTGCTTACAGCTTTCCAGCCATGGCATCTCCTCCTGCCAGAGGACCTCTTTTGCACTGAGAAGCCTCATGTGCATGAAGCAAGTCCTTCTGCCTTGAGTGGGTCTTGCAGAAGGTCCATCTAAATCACATTACAAATCTGAAGCCTAATTTTAGATGCGAGTAACGTAGTG